TGTTTTCTGGGTATATACACAGAGCAAAAACCCGTTGATTTCCTTCCGCAGTTGATGCAAAGCACCCCAAATCACCCACACGAGTTACTTCATAAGAATGCTCAGGTAAGGGAAGATATAAACGAGTAAGTCAATACCTTGTTTTTAAGGGTTCATGACATTACTGTTCTAAATTTTCTTCTTATGCAGTCCTTCCAGTTACTTCATGTATCTTTTTCACTTCATTAATGCTACTTAAGAAGTTCCACATTTTTACTACTTTGTCCATTTGTTTTAAGTCACGTCCCATGAAAATAGCATAGAAGACAAGGGTCTGGACAATTGATTCAAGTAGTGCAAATATCAAGGAATTTTTCAGAGCCTGAAGTGGACCTGCTTTTCAGAGGCCAAACTTGAAAAGAAGTTAAGATTTAACCAACCGAAATCTAGTGTAAAGAAATGCAATTCTTATGGAAGTCTTCTGACAAGTTAATCAGTAAGTTACACCATTAAGCAAGAAAATTGAATCCTCTACATTCAACAACCATTAATGCAAATTATGTTTTACTTTTTAAAAAGTTAAATCAATACACTCGTACTCATAAGTTACAGCTAGACCATTTTGCCCTTCCAGTTTCACAGCTACACTTGGTAACTTTCCCAAGTTTCATTTTATTTATTCAGCCATAAGGTAGCCAATTCACTGCCGAAATAAGAATCCTTATTCTAGGCTTCTAGTCTTTTATACCTACTTTTCCCCCTTAAAAATAACTAGTAAAGACTCGCTCAAACAATTGTCAACTTACACTGTATATATATTGTAACACTTTGTTTCGAGCCAAAATTTCATGCTGTGCTTTGAAACTGATGAGCTAATATGAGCACTGTTGACAAGGTGTCACGCTAAAGGCCTGCTATCGATTGGTGTACTGCATCTACTTCATTTAACTTTTTTTTTTTAAACGTATAATTTGATTAACAACAATATCTTATGAGATATCAAAAGGGTTAAGGTAACAAAATAGTAATGGGAAGCTTGAGTTACCCCAGGCAGACTGTTGCTATCCAAGGGATTCAAACACTATTAATGCAGCACTGCTGTCTTCAACTATCTACAGGAAGCTAATAGAGAAGCCAGATTCTTCTCAGCGGTTCACAGTGGTGTGATGGGAGGCAAGAGACACAAGTTGCAGGAAGGGAAATTCCAATTTGATATTAGGAAACAGTTTTACAATGAGGGTAATCAAACATTGTAACAAGTCACCCAAATAGGCTAGAAGTTTTATCCTACAGATACTTAAAACTCAACTTGACATGTCCTGAGCAAGCTGATCTAAGCTGGTCCTACTTTGAGCAGTAGGTTCAAACAGATGACTTCCAGTTGCCCCTTCCAACCCAAGTACTGATTCTGTGACATTAGCCCAATGCCCATTTCATAGACCAGCTGGTTAAAAGAGACCATGCCCAAATAGGCTAGAAGTTTTATCCTACAGATACTTAAAACTCAACTTGACATGTCCTGAGCAAGCTGATCTAAGCTGGTCCTACTTTGAGCAGTAGGTTCAAACAGATGACTTCCAGTTGCCCCTTCCAACCCAAGTACTGATTCTGTGACATTAGCCCAATGCCCATTTCATAGACCAGCTGGTTAAAAGAGACCATGATGAGGTTAAAAAAAAAAAAAAAAAAAAAAGAAGAAAATCATGAGGCCAGACCTCAGTCTCTTGCACCAACCACGTTTACTTTACTAAATACACTTCTAGTGTGAAATCCCTGAATCAGAGACTAGAGTAAGAGAAATGAGACACACTGAGACAAAATGAGAAAGCTCTGGGTAAAATAATGACAGAATAAGGAATCCAGAACAAACCTCTGAGAAACAGATTAAAACCAGTCCGTTCCTGTAGCTTAGCTGCTAATTTTTACAGCTTCAGAAGTCTGAAGGCAACGGGCTGTTCATTTGAAATTATTCCTCTGCCATCTCAAAAAAAAAAAAAAAAAAGCAGCTCCCAACTTAATCTGAAGTAGCACACAGGACCCGGTTCAGAAATCTTACAGTGGAAGAGCCACTCTAACAGCAACCATAAAATATTAAGACTCAGCATCTCTGTAGGATCAACAGGAGCCAAGAACTCCATCACAGCTGTGCTAAGTTTCAAGAGAAAGCAGTCAAATAAAAGTGGGGACACTCGTAAAGAGATACAGAAGCGGTAGTAAAGGACAAAGCAACACAAAGCAGGCACCTACCAAGCAATAAGTGTTTGAAAGAGCAGAAGGAATCAAGCAGAACAAAGTGGCTACTAAACCCAAGAAGGCAGTCTTCACAAAGCTGAAGAGGTACCCAGATGAAGATGGCAGAGAAGGATTTCTATTTTGCCAGAATATGATAAAACAAGGTAGAAAACCCCCACAACCACCTATACGAGGAATAATCAAAACCAGATAAATAAATAAAATCCCTTCCTCCTTCAAAATACATGGAGACAAGGAATCCAGGGTATGCATGCGGCCAAGAAATGACTAAAGTACACAAGGAATATCTGGAAAACACACAAAACAAACAGTGATTTCTCTGTGACTGTTCAGTTTTCTGCAAGGACTAGAAAGGAGAAACACAGATTGAAGCTCTTGCTTTTGGGGGCTCCCAGGGTCTGTCTCAAACAAGAAGAAGCTGGAGGAGTCACAGAACAGAGTAGAGATGGAGGAACAGAAAGAACCAATAACAAGGCCCTGAGATCAGTTTTCACCTCAAGGCTCTAAATTAAACTAGCTAGAACATCCAGCGCACTGACAGTGATATACAACTGTTCACTTGAAATGAAACCAAATGTACACATTGCTACCACAGAGGTGGCGAGTGGCAAACATGATACAACCTTAGGCGGAACTTCACAGAAGATCTTGACTAGGAGATTATAAGCCTGATGTCTCTATCAAGCAAGTCAGCAGAAAAGGGTAGCACTGAATGAGTATTAAAGAAGCGGGGAAGAATCAAAACAGCTTTTTCAGAGGGAAGTCCTGACTCACCAACCTAGTGGAATTCTTTAAAGGAGGCAACAAGCCTGGGAATAGGAGTGATCTAGCTGACGCTATCCATGTGGATTTCCAGAAGTCTTACAACAAAGCCCTTCGCTAAAGGCTTTCAAGGAAGTTAACTGGCCACGTGAGAGATAAGAGGTCCTTTCATGGATAGTAATTGGTAAAGGGATAGTAAACAGAAGGTAGGAATAATGGTCAGTTCCAACTCAGTGGAAGATGCTGACCAGTGCAGTTTCAGAGATCAGTGCTCTCTGCTACACTCACTCATAAATGATCTGAAAGACAGGTGGGCAGTGAGTAAACAGAGCTAGTTCATAACATTAAGTCAGCACTTGTCATTACTATCCCAAACATCTGCAGAAGAACTTTACAAGACTGACTAGGCAATAAGTTAAACTCAGTAGAGCTAAGCGATACAAAAGTGAAAACAGTAACATGAAATGGCTGGCTCTCATAGTATGCCACTGTAAAAAATCTATAGTGCCTTCACATCTTGACTACCATGTGAGGCTTTGTGCTGTCTCCCATTCTCCCTCCATGCACCAAGGCAACTTGGAAAAGGGAAAGTTCTGGAAATCTGAAAGCAACAATCCCTGCTGCAGTTCTCCAAAGCTTTCTGAAGATAGGAAAGTTGTTTTATGCAAAACTACAACTCCTCAAATTCAAAGAGATCAAGTGGATATGATAGAGGTCTAAAATCCTCAGTAGGAATAAACTATTTACTCTCCAAATTCTGTCTTTCAGCAGAAGAGTTAGAGGACATCAAGCAAAGCCAGCAGGACACAGGATTTAAAAAAGAAGCTGTGCAGTAGTGCTGCTGATAGGCTGTTTGGATGCTAGAAGTTTACAGTACATTCTTCTGAATGGACAGAAGCAGTATCTGATTCGGGAAATCCTTCAGCTGAAAGGCTAAGAGAGAGTACCAGGAGAAAGCACCACAGGTACTGCTGAACAGAATAGGGCTGCAAACCATCTCTAGCTCTGAGATCAAAGAGCAGGCAGATGCAAACAACTGTACTGAGATCAAGTAACAAGCATCCACTATACATAATTCTCAACACTGAGTCTCTTTTGGACTGCATGCAGCGTCCTTAATCTGTCTCCTTTTAGCTCTTATTATTAGGGATGTGCTGCAGCTCAGAGTGGTAGATTCATACCCTGAAACAGGATAAATGGTAAGCCCTGGAGTGCAATATACATGCATACACACATGTAGAGAGAGTTAATGATACAAAGCTGGGATAGTACTAGGGGACCATTTAGTGCCTAAGGTGCCAAGTCTGACACAAACCCATTCATACTGTCTACTGGAAATGGTCCCTTCTGCCACTGTTCCCTGAACTGCCATCGTCAATAAGCTAAGCAGCACAGACTCTCAGGTCCAGTAATTCAGCTTGTTCCTCAAACTAATTTTACTTAGCAGCATAGAACCAGCCCTATATATTAACCCTGTTTTTAATACTCTAATGTGGACAGCTGCTCTGGGCTGCAGCTTTCCTACTCCTTCACAAAGCACCCTTTATAACACCCACAACAAGCACTTCAGGCAGAGACAGGCGACACGCTCCACAGCACTAAACTTAGTTGTGTCTGAAGTCAAAGCAGGAAAGGGCTTGTGTTCCTGCACAGTCAGAAGAGAAATCACTTCTGGGCATAGCTACTTCCTCTGCCTTATCTAGATCCCTGGAGAAGAAGAAATGCTTTTTAGTCCCAGCACTAGTGCATGTGATGTTGCTTTACAGAGGAGCTCTCCCCTGAGAGTTTCCTGCCTCGCTCCCCCTCACGTTCTTTCCTCAGACAGGTAGTCTGCATCACACATGGAGATCAGCAAGTCACTCTAGGCTTAGCCAGTGTCAGCCATCGTGAGAATGGCTGTACTGGCTGACTGGAGTCAGGAAGTTGAACATTCCAGTATGCACCTACTACACGGAACAATTTTATCGTCTTTCTAGTTTGCTAGCAGTTGCCAAATCTTTGCTTACCTGAATGAAAGTAGCACCCTCTACTGCTGCCTTCAGGTCTGTACAGCCACTAATGAGCGCCAGCTGCTTCTCTGCACTCAAAGCTCCTTTCAGGAATCCCGACTCCTCCAGCTCCTTCATTTGTTTGCTGATAGAAACAACACGCACATTTATATATTTATCATTTTAAAGTCACTATTAAAATATTCTCAACAACCTAGTAGTACCATGTTATTTGCCACGCCACTGCTTGCATTTATACTCAAACAAATAAAAGTTAATTTCAGTCATTTCTCTCTGCCCACTGCTACCACTACCACTTTCTTGTAATATCTTTCCTGTCTTCAAGCACGGATGCCTCTAGGATCTATTCCTAGTCCCAGGCTTGTCACCACCACAAACCTGTTTTCACCAGTGCAGGATCAGCAACAGTTTTTCTACTCATGTCTAATGAGAAGAGAAAGGCCTTTACCGAAGTTGTCCCTCTAGTTTTACAAACAACGGGTCTTTTATTGTGAAGCCTTTCTGCAGGAACACTGTTTAACTATATTAAAAAATATATATATACACGCACACACACGTACTGCCAGGACTCATTCCTAAACAAACATTCCCCTTAATATAGGTAATAACCACAGAACAAATGCCAGAAAATCTGAGTAGTTATTAAATTGAGCATCCAGAGTTTAATCCGAACAAATCAAACACGCATCACTGCTGTGGCTGGACATGTCACCCTCCAAAGGAAGGATTCTCTAGAACTTGCCCCCCCCCCCCCAAAAAAAAAAAACACACCACAAGAGCAAGCAAGACATTTTCAAAACCGTTCAAATCATTTTGAGGCACAATTCCACGGAAATTAGGTGGGATTAAATTATCTGATCACAATCAACCTGCAACTATTTGATACAGTCATTATTATGGTTAAATCTGTCACAGTTAACTCAAGCCACAACTCCTCTGAGCCTTCATTTATTATTTAGCAAAAAATGCTCATTCTGAAGAGAAGAGAAAATTCAGCTAATGATTAGCAGGGGCAGGAGGGATCCTTTGTTCTTCTTACTGACCTAGCTTTGAAGCCTTGGCTTCTTTTTGGACATCTTCTTACATAGCAATAGAATTGCGCTTGCCACCAAACTGGAGGGTAGAAAAGCTGGAGCAAACAGAAGCTCTGCAGTGTGGACCAAATCACACGATTTGTGTAATGTAACAATATATTAACTGAATGTAAAACAACCAGCGATCCATCATGTGTTTCTCAAGTGACTGTGGTACTTGGGCACAAATGATGGTCTTCATTAGGGACTTTATGAGACAGTGCATGTTACATGGGCAGAACTTATTTATACAGGTCCAGCTAAACTCCACGTCACCATACGTCAGTCCTTAATAGACCTGCCCAGACTCCTGCACGTACACAGACAGAAACAGTATTTGGTTTTGCACCTAGAGTCCTCAGAAGAGATGGGCCTCTGTGAGTCACTGTTTGTCACTCCAGTCTTCCAAAAGGGCAAGAAGGAGGAGCCAGGAAACGACAGGCCTGTCAGCCTCACCTCCATCCCTGGAAAGGTGATGGAACAGCTCCTCCTGGAGGTCCTCACTAAACATTTGGAGGACAAGAAGGTGATCAGGAGTAGTCAGCATGCATTCACCAAAGGGAAATCATGCTTGACCAATCTGAGAGCCTTCTCTGATGGGATGACCGGCTGGGTAGATGAGGGGAGAGCAGTGGATGTTGCCTGCCTGGACTTCAGCAAGGCTTTGGACACTGTCTCCCATCACATCCTCATAGGTAAACTCAGGAAGTGTGGGTTGGATGAGTGGACAGTGAGGTGGATTGAGAACTAGCTGTATGGCAGAGCTCAGAGGGTTGTGGTCAGTGGCACAGCTGGAGGCCTGTGGCTAGTGGTGTCCCCCAGGGGTCAGTCCTGGGTCCAGTCTTGTTCAATGTATTCATCAGTGACCTGGAGGAAGGCACAGAGTGCACCCTCAGCAAGTTGGCTGATGATACTAAACTGGGGGGAGTGGCTGACCCACCAGAAGGCTGTGCTGCCATTCAGAGGGAGCTGGACAGGCTGGAGAGTTGGGCGGAGAGCAGCCTCCTGAAGTTCAACAAAGGCAAGGGCAGGGTCCTGCACCCAGGGAGGAATAATCCCATGCAGCAGGACAGGCTGGGGGTTGACCTGCTGGAAAGCAGCTCTGCAGAGAAGGACCTGGGAGTGCTGGTGGACAACAGGTTGACCATGAATGAGCCAGCAATGTGCCCTTGTGGCCAAGAAGGCCAAGGGTCTCCTGGGCTGCATGAGGCAGAGTGTTGTCAGCAGGTGGAGGGAGGTGATCCTGCCCCTCTACTCAGCCCTGGGGAGGCCTCACCTGGAGTGCTGGGTCCAGTTCTGGACTCCCCAGTACAGGAGAGACATGGCACTCCTGGAGAGAGTCCAGTGGAGGGCTACAAAGCTGATGAGGGGACTGGAGCACCTCTTTTATGAAAAAAGGTTGAGAGAGCTGGGCCTGCTTAGCCTGGAGAAGAGAAGACTGAGAGGGGATCTCATCAACATGTACAAGTATCTGAAGGGAGGGTGTCGAGAGGATGAGGCCAGACTCTTCTCCGTGGTGCCCAGTGACAGGACAAGAGGCAACAGGCACCAACGGAAACACAGGAAGTTCTGTCTGAACCTGAGGAAAAACTTCTTTGCTGTGAGGGTGACAGAGCACTGGCCCAGGTTGCCCCGAGAGGTTGTGGAGTCTCCTTCGCTGGAGATATTCAAAACCCTCCTGGATGTGATCCTGTGCAGTGTGCTCTAGAGGACCCTGCTTGAGCAGGGGGGTTGGACTAGATGATCTCCAGAGGTCCCTTCCAACTTCAACCATTCTGTGAAGTAGTGAATCTATAGTCCAATAAAAATATGAAGCTTTCTCATCCAGATTTCCTAAACAAAATGAATTGGATTCATCTGACCTAGCCTGCCAACATATATATGCATTTCAAATGCGCTTGCTCGATCTTTTTTAGGCATCCAAGTATGCAATCCATCTCATCTTACGGTAGAATACCTATTTCTTTCCAGTCCCTGTAGAGCAATTAACTCAGTCTGAGACATTTAGATCGCCGTCTGCTGAAAGTGATAAAGTTCACAGAAGAACAGGATAGAATTTATAGATGATTCAGTTCCTACTGAATTAAATAGAAGCAAGTCAAACCTCAGCAGAGATTAATTAGGCCTTCACATCTTTAGCTTGAACTTGTAGCTCAACTAAATCAAGTATTAACTTCCAGAGAATTAGGATTTTATTTCAGTATCCAATGTAGTTGTGTTGTGTCCAAGAGAGCACATACAGACATAGTCTATGACCTCTTAATAAAGCCTTAATAAAACTAGTAGAGCCATCTGCTGGTTTGCAAGTTGCTTTGACGTTCTCTTTTCCACTCAAAGTAGACTTCGTACCTTAAATCAAAATACTTCCAATAGCTTGGGAGCAGGTGTCAGCTGAGTTTCTATTTGAAAGAAGTAAAGGTAACATCGCATATTCCAAGCCAGAATACATGCATTTATTTTTTATTTATTTTTGTAAAGGCTAACTTCTACAAGCATTAACTTTTTCCTCTTCAGGGTACTGTTGTTGTAATCAGTTCCAGCTAATCATTTCTGTACATCAAGTTTTAACACTTTTGTTTTATGCTTGTCACAGGTGATCGTTGACCATGATTTTTTACTCAGTTTTGGGCAGAGCACGTCTGGGTAAATAGCGAGGCATTGCATTCTGTTTACATTGGACAACAGCTTTGAAAAGGCTCAGGTCACTCTTAGCTGGAGAATGAGACCAGAAGTCACACACACTTCAGATACTGCTCAGTTCTGTTCATTTTCTTCACCAGAGTCCCTTAGAAATGCTATTTTTGGTCTAAAAATCTACCAGCCTATGCATACCAAAACTCATGCAAAGACTTCCGTTAATAGCTTTCTGCCTGTTTTTGCAATTATGCAAAAAACTAGACCTTTCCCAACCAAAGGTAAACTAGTCAAAAATTGCTTTCTAGTAACTTTTTGTTTAAGAACACTTCAAGGAAAAAAAAAAAATACATGTCCAAACACAGTCCCCTCCAGGCAGTGTCACAGAAACCGCAGCAGGAAATCCATCCTGTTTCTGGACGAGTTCCTCATTTGGTTCCTTGACAACACACCAATGGATGGCTAAAAAGCCCAGATTTCTGCCTCTTGAACAGAGGGAAGCTCCAAGTCCTTTTTCCAACTTGCAAGGGTATACTACAACTTGCTAAGCTCCATCTAAGACTTCTTAAGGCTTCTAGCTCATTAAAGGTTGATAGTGCTTTATCTGTGAAAGAAATAGAAGCACCGATACTAGAGTATCCAAACTTCTGGCTCCTTCACACCTCACAAGGCGAGACAATAGGGAACCAAGAATCCAAGAGGTTTCAACTATCAGTTCCTCAGAACCCCTTTTCCCAGGTGCACTTGCCTAAATCCAGCATCTTCTTGCAAAGAGGTTGCATATTAGTTTTAGCAAACAAAATTTATATTTGAAAAGACAACAACAAAATTAGCCCTTTCTTAGAACAGGGTGAAATTCTTGTTCACTTACTTTGTACTATTACACTAGCTTCATCCTTCCTGGCCCCCTGAAACTCACATCATTCCACAAAAGGCAGCAAAGGGATTCAAAAAGGCTAGCGACACACTAAGATGTGGGTTTTACTTTTCTTTCACAAGCTCCTTTAGAAGTTTTCAGCATGTCTTCTGTTTATTTCCTTCCTTCTCTACCAGTGATGACTATCTTGACATTTCTACTTCTCTCATGAGCCATTATACATTATCATGCACAGATGCACAGAAAACACCACTTTCAGTTAAACTGCAAAGCCACCACATTTACCCTTTGAAATTTGAGGTTGAACTGAATTTTTTCTTCTAAACAAAAATCCTCCAAATAACGTCACTGACCATTTAAATAACAATAGTAATTTAAATAAAGTCATGCAACAGGAAACATGATTAGTACATTACTTCAGTTTTGGCCTTCCCTCACCTCTCCTTCCCTCCTGGAGGAAACCTTTTTTGGTCCCCTCTACTAATGCAGTTATTGTCTCTTTAGTTGTTTTGTTCCACAAACAAATTTCAAGTCTTACAA